AATATATATAATCTAAATTTAATTTATTAGATTATATATATAATCTAATAAATTAAATTGTGAATGAATCATAAACTGTTTTAATATAATATGTAATAAATATATTTTGTAGATTTTACAGAAATAAAACATGTTTTAGTTTTTTGCTGGAAAAAAATACTATCTTTCATGCTATATTTTATGATCCTTATTGATGAAACTGAAGATTTTTGTCTCTTATGTGTTCAGATTGATTATCATTGTAGAATTTCGTCAGATGGCAATTAAGTTTTAAAAATTAAATTGAAGATGTAATTTATTGAAAAAATTGAAGATGTAATTTATTGAATCACCATTTATTCACTTTCAATGTTTCATAATACAAACTTTCAATGATCAACCTTTCTCTGCAGGCTATTGGCCATCAAAATTAAAACTTCCCTTAAACGTTTTAATTGGATATTTTTTCTTTATTTTTAAAGGAAGTTTTTAATTTTGATGGCCAATAGTCTGCAGAGAAAGGTTGATCATTCAAAGTTTGTATTCTGAAACATTGAAAGTGAATAAATGGTGATTCTTTATTCAATAAATTATATCTTCAATTTAATTTTTTTTTTTACTTTATTGTTTTATTTCAACAAATAATAATCAAAATAAATATATTTTTTTAAAATGAAATACAGAAATTATGAATCTTTTGAAAATAGGGTAGTTGAACCAGTGAATGACCATATTGTCAGAAATTTGTTTAAAATAAGTGCCACAGCAAGAAAGACTAATCAGAAGTGCTGAATTACTGAAAATCAACTACATTTTGAAATATTCTTTTTCATTGGTCATTCAAAAACACGTGAAATGTTTGAAAAATGGCAGCTTTCTTGAAATGTGTGTTTAAGGTGTAATCTTGCTTGATTCTAATAAAGTAAGAATTGTGACAAGGATTCATATAGCAGCATTTTAAAATAATTATTTATTGATTTTCCTAAGCATTGAGTAAAGAAATAGTTTTGTAGCTATTTAAAGTATGGTTTTAGTACAAAAATTAATTTTAACCTTTAAAGGTATGTAGATAGGGGTAGTACACTCACTGGATCTGAAAAGTGATTATTCTCCAGTGAAGGAACACTTTAGTCATTTAATGGTGATAAAGTAATATGCATTATCTTCATTTCTGAGCACAAAATTTAAAATCTCAATGTTGTTTCAATGCTAACGTATGAGTGAATGACCAAAAAACTAACTTGTACCAGTAAATGACCATGGTTCAAAGTCATGTGGTCATTCATTGTTGCACATTAAAATGGTTCAAGATGAATAGTTAAAGACATTTGAATTTATTTTTATTCAGATAAATTCAAAATGGCAGATGAAATAAATAAAAAGAAGAAAGCCTACAGACGTTTTCAATATAGTGAAGAAGATTTGTATGAAGCTGTAGAAGTAATAGGTGAAAATAAAATGAGTTCTAATAAGGCTAGAAAAAAATTTAACATTCTAAAAGGAATTTCAATAAATAAATTACATAGAAAGGTACCAATAGAGCGAAAAATAGGCTCTGCAGCAACATCACAAAAGCAGAGGAAGACAGGTTGAAAAAATGGATTATTGGGAAAGCCAAATTGGGTTTTCCCAAGCATCTCGATGAAGTAAACGATGCAGTTCAGAAAGTTGTGAAAGATATGGAATGAAAGAATCCATTTAATGATGATCGCTCAGGAAAAAAATGGCTAAAGCTTTTTCTAAAAAAGGCACCCTAATGTAGTAGCAGTTTCAGAAGAGATTATAAGGAATTGGTTTCAAGAATTAAATAATTATTTGAGAGAAGAACATGTAGTAAGTGATATTCTGCAAAATCCTTCCCATATCTTCAATGCAGATGAAACAGGGATGTTATTTTGTCCAAAAACTGGCAAACTTCTGGAATCTAAAGCATATAAGAACTTTTATAACATTGCATCAGGACAAGAAAAACAGTGTATCACAGTTTTGTGTAATTTTTCTGCACATGGCCAGTGAGTGGATCCTATGATGGTGTTCCCATATAAGAGAATTCCAAGGCATATTGCAGATTCAGTTCCAGATGGCTTTGCTGTAGGCAGAAGTGATTCAGGATGGACGATAAGTGCCACATTTTATGAAATATATAATGAATATGTTGCAAACATCTTCTACCCCTGGCTTCTGGATAAGAATATCTAGTTTCCTGTATTATTGCTTATTTATGGACTTAAATCCCATATAATTGAAAACTGTATAATTTTTGTGTTGAGAAAAGAATTATCCTCTTTTGTTTGTTGCCAAATGCAACTCATATTATCCAGCCTTGTGACATTGCAATTTTTTGACCACTTAAATGTCAGTGGATAAATGTTGTCAGAAAACACAAGCAACAATCATCAAAATCAGTTTCTAAAACTAACTTTGTAGCTTTATTTTTTAAAGCTTACAAGAAAGCTTTGAAATTGGAAACAACTCAACATGGATTTGAAACATGTGTTCCTTTTGATCCAAATAGGGTGGATTATTCAAAATGTATTTCTGATAGGCATAAGGAATTGTTTTCCGAAAATGAATCTGATATATCAATTAATTATGTAGAACTATATAAATGTGCACTGAAAATGATAGCAAATGAGATTCCACTTAATTTTTTATCAGATTTCAAGGAAGCCATTGCATCTGATAACAATCAGATAAATTTAGACAATATTGCAATAATAATTTTCTATCTATGAAACACATTTTTGTATGTATTAACAGACTGATAATTTCTATAACATTGTATACATGATATTTTTGAATTAAAAACCTTTTCTAAAAATTAATATTTTTATTCCAATTTTTAAATCTGAAATTATATAATTGTCTGAACATATAATGACAGAATTACATAAAATTGCCAACACATATATAGTATACAATAGTATAATAGTATTGTATACTATATATACTATTGTATACATAGTATACAATAGTATATAGTATCCTAAAACTCTAGTTATTCATTATTAGTCACTTGTGGTCATTCACTGTGATTTTTAAATTTTAAAAACATTGTGTCATTAATTTAATCAATATTACAGAAAATTAAAAATTCACTTTTTGAATGAGTAGAGTGAGTTCTTGGTAACCAGCAATGACCATTACTTATGTTAAATATCTGTTTGTTAAGTGATTATATTCAAATATCCTTATTAAGATGCTTAATTGGTCATTTACTGATGCAACTACTCTATAAATAGACAAATAAATAAGAAATTCTTAAAGGTAATCTTTAATCTTGAAATCCAAACAGAACATTTGAAAATATCTTGTTATTGTCATTGACAAGAAACTCAAAGAATGGCAAAACAGTTGAATGCCAATCAGTGTGAGAAAATGAAAAATTATTTTTAATTATTGCAATAAGAGAAAGATAATCCTGCTAAATTTTTTGTTTTCATGTTGCCAAATTTTTATTAAATTGGCAACATGAAAACAAAAAATTTAGCAGGATTATCTTTCTCTGGTGCAGGATTATTTTGGTGAAATTACAATAAAATACTTTTACTTTGAGAAATTTATATGTATTAAATAAGACTAAATACAGAATAATTTCTACTTTATATTTGCAGTTTTGAATTTTACGTTACGTAATAAATTTTATTACTATCTTATTATAAAAATAGTTATATAGAAATTAAGTTTTAAAAGCATTATTTTATGAATATTGGATAATTTGTAAAAGGTTAATTGATTCTGAAGATTTTAAGAAGACAGAATATGCTAATAAAATTAAAGCTTCCATTTTAATTGCTATCTTATGTTAGATATAAATTATAAGTTTTTTATTTCAGAAGAACATCTAGTGGATTGAGTCTTCAGAGTGAAGGTCAGGGTTATGATAATGATGCCTCTTCCGATACCGAAACTGAAGATGTTGCAGGAGAGGAAGCAGGTGTCATAACTCGCAAAATTAAAAATAAACATGAACGAGTGAGTTGCAGATGCTTTGTTTTATTTTTGGTGCCACTGTATGATATGTATAAAATTACTGTGCTTATTTATAATTTTAAAATCATTTAAATAAGATAAAAGTAAATTTAGAAAAGAGTAAATAATTTAAAATATTCTATTTTCTAAAAAGTAGTTAGTTTTTTATATTTTGATATACACTACCCTACAGTAATGGACTGGACAGCAAGATGTGATGGCATAAGGTAAAGAATACATGCTTTAATAGGGGGAGGGTCCCCCACATGCTGCAGTTACACTAGCAGCCCTTCTGAGCATGCTTTCAACAAGGTTTTGATACACAGCTATGGGCATTTGTATCTATTTCTGCTTCAAGAATGTTGCCAGCTCAGCTGTAGATTTCGGACGTGGTTCCCTGGTCCGTAAGTGGAACTCGTCCCACAAATGTTCTATTGGGTTTAGGTTGGGACTCTGAGCAGACCAGGGAAGATGGTTGACATCCATATCTTGATACCACTGCTTGACAGATGCTGCAGCATGACATGAAGTATTGTTGTCCTGGAAGTAACATTCGTCCATTCCATAAAATTGCCAGAGCATAGGAAGAACCTGATTGTCCAAAATGTTCATGTAGGTGTAGGCATTCAATTTACCAGGAACAACATGCAAAGGTCCCAGGCCATACCACGAAAAACCACCCCCAAACAAGAACACCACCACCACTGAACTTGACAGTTGGAACGATGCACTCGGGTAACAGATGTTCAACTGGCATTCTCCAAAGCCCATCTGGCTGGAAGAGCATGTAGCATGACTTGTCGCTCCATAAAACAGTTTTCCAGTGCTCAACAGACCAGTTGCAATGTTGCAAACACCAAGCGAGTCTGCTAGCTTTGTTGGATGGGGTGGTGTTTGGTTTGTGTGCGGCAACACATCTGTGGATATTGAGGGCATACAGTTCTTTCTGCAGAGTTTTGGGGTGCACCGTAACCCCTGCTGCCTGTGGAAACTCACTGTTGATGATTTCGAGTGGTTTCTTGTGGTTCTTATGAACCTCACACTTCAGGACATGCCGATCTCATTCAGTCAGTTTACGGGGACGACCAACCTGTGCAGTTTGTGTCCCAACTCCCATAGTCTTCCATTTCTTCATAACATCATCAACAGTTGATTGTGGCTATGATAATTCTACCACAATTGCACAAATAGACTTGCCACTAATGTGACAACCAACTATAACACCTCTTTCAAAGTCACTAAGTTCCTTTCATTTCGACATATTGTCAGAATTTCACGTAGAACTAACGATGTTACCACTTTGCGTATTGTATTTAACCATATCAGATCACATGTGATCACTGGGTTTGGATAAAATCTAACATGCAGTTGGATTTTATGCAAATCCGCTGATGTCTGGTCCATTATTGTAGGGTAGTATATGTTAAGATGGATGAAGTGGTTGAGATGATTAAGGTATCAGCCTATTGGATGACCAGTGGTCAAGTGTATAAAACAAAACACTGGTAGTTGGTCATGGATTTATGCCTCACCAACAAGTTGGCATGAATATTGATAATTAAGTGTTACAAACATGAAGAAACTTGTTCACATGGGTGAACAGGTATCTTCATGTTTGTAATACTATGTTCGCACACAATCCATGACTCACTTCAATCTCGATTTACCTACAATCTGGATTGTGACTGTCGCTAGTCGAACGTCGTGCTGTTCGCACAGGCAGTCTGCTTGAGAAGAACCTGGCTATTACACGCGATCATAAAACTGACGTAACTATGCGGTAAGTCACAAACACCAACAAACAAAATGGAAGTTTTGGTTAGAAATAAATACTTTTTCTTGCCATACATCTAATAATAGACAGATGTCATCGTCTCTCCAGATGTCTTTTTTATTTCTCTGTTGATAGCCTGACACGTGTTCCACAGCCATCTTGTATTTTCTCGCCCGTGTGGGATTGTGGGATCTCTCTTATAACTGGATCTAGTTTCGAAAACTCTCTCCAGTCGATCGCGATTGAACCTCGTAACGGTCGAGAGCGTTTGCACCACAGAACAGTCTCCGACCTTAGTCACAATCTAGATCGAAATGCTCAGTGTGAACGGGGTATAACACTTAATTAGGAACCAGTTTCCCTTAGAAAGTCCTCCTGGAAGGCATCCCCCTCAGCAGATTTCCCACATGTCAAGTTATCATAACCAAATAAATCAATAAACCAAATCAGCCTACTGCTTTGGGGGCTGGGATTGAATCTGGGCATGCAACTTCTCATGAATTTTTGGGGTGTTTTTATGCCTAGAAAACTGTTCAAATTATTCTGTATTTGAATATGTCATTCTTCATGATCCAGCCACTTCCATTATTGGTGCAGCTAAACTTATGAAGTGTATGATTAAAAAGGCCCTCTTAGAGCCTACAGAACAGGAGTAAAATATGAGAAAAAAAGATATAAAAGTGTATAAAAATTTATTTTTTAATAATATTTTGTTATTTTTGTAAGGAACTTGTAGTGTGTATGTATTTATGTAAATGCAAACATGCACATGTATACAAACACACATGCACATACTTTTGTTATACAAAATATATATAAGTATAATTTTTATATATTATATATATTATATTTCTGTTAGAAGCTATTGAATATTATGAATTCTATCAGACTAAACTTCCCTTTTTGCTTTTCAAACTGAGTTACATGCAGGGCTGTGGAGTCGCGTAAAAATCTACCGACTCTGACTTTTCCTTACCATCCGACTCCGACTCCAACCAGGGGTGAACTTGTTACCGAAAGAGACCTGGAAATTCTGATGTCATCACGTGACCTCAGAATAAAAGATTCAATAAATAGAGTTCTAATAAAGATAGAACATAGAAACTTTTTATTCCAAAGCTAAAAGACTCCTGTAAGTAATATATAAATACAGTGGTACCTCAGGATACGAAATTAATCCGTTCCGAAACTGAGATTGTATCATGAAAATGTCGTAAGGTGGATCATCTTTTCCCATACGATTACATGTAAAACCAAATAATTCGTTCCAACGCGAAAAACATACTCAAATTAAAGCCAAGTAATACATTAAAAAAAATAACTGTAGTAAGAAAAACAAATGAAAAATGCGAACTAATGTAACGTCGTATGGTGAGTTTTTGTTCGTATCGTGGAGCAAAAATATGTTCGAATTTCATGTCGTATCCTGAAAATTTCGTATGCTGGGGCGTTCGTAACCTGAGGTACCACTGTATGTATTCGATAACTTTTACTTTTCCGGCTGTTATATATAACAGAGGGAAAGTGTAGCACTCGGTCAAAAAATGACCCTTTCCAAAATTTTACATTTTTGGACTCGGGACACCTCGAAATTTCGAGATATGCAAAAGATTCGAGATTTTTTCTATATGTGTGGATGTTAGTGTGTGTGGGGCATGATTTTGTTCACTCTGTTTGAAGCCTAATAATTTCTGTGGTCAGAGTGGTCGGAATTGGAGTCAGATGGTTTAACACAGCAGTTAGTTATTAAGCGTCAAAGTGGTTGAACTAAATCGTGTCCCCATATACATTCTAACATCTTAGGCCAGAACATGTTAATGGGATTTACTGTACTATTATAAAATAAAAAAAGTTTACTTTGAGGGTAGAGACAAATTTTATTTATTTATTTTTTAATTTTGAATGCTAATAACAAGTAAAATATTCATTAAAAGATATGACACGTGACCACTTTTATGTCTTCACCCTATCGACGTTTAATTAAGAACCAAAATAGTATTAATGCCCCTTTATATGCAAGCCACAGTGCCACATTTTGTTTCTTAAACTTTACCCATTCTGAGATATTGTTTAATTAATATATCAGAACAGAAAATAAAGAAGTTAAACAAATTAGACGCCAACACATACATGCATGCAAATTTTTCCTCTGAATTTTTATTGACTTTTTGAGGGGTTCGAGAGGTCTCCAAACGTGTAGATTTGCAAAAACACCTGGAGGGTCAAATTTGACACAATTCCAATACTTTTCTGTTTTATATACATAAGAAGTTGGGAAGTAAAAAGGAGTTGAAGTCAGCGGATTTTTTGACGACTCCGACTCCGGATAAAATACCAAAACTCCACGACTCTGACTCCACAGCTCTGGTTACATGAAACTTTTTCTTACTCAGTAGCCTTGCAAAGCTGTAAATTTTGTACTCAATAGAGGAACTAAACATAGGCAATAAAATATAACTGTAGTATAACTGTCACTGTAATTCTAATTCCTGACAAAGTATGAAACAAGTGTACAAGTATGAAAAAATTCCATAAAGATAAGAATACACTAAACTATTAGGGGCAGTCAAATGAAAATGAGACAAACTATATAACAAGTGGCATGAGACAAACTATATAATATGTGGCATGGAAGTTGGTAATGCAGGTAGGTGTGTATGTAGAAGTGCCCTCTATGGGAATCAGGAAGGAACAGCGTGAACGTTCACCGCTGTGCCATTTGTCTGTTAGACGTGCTCGAAGTGAGGTCGGCAAGTCGTGTGTGCATCCAACATCACTATGGAGGTCCACTGCTTGTTGACTTTCTGGAACATGGCGCCACAATTAACGCACAGCAGTACATAGAAACTTTGCAAAAATTGAAGCATGCCATCAAATCCAAACATCTAGGAATGTTGACAAACAGCATCATTCTGTTGCAGGATAATGCCCACCCACATGTTACCAAGGTTGTTTTGACTATGCTGCAGAAGTTTTACTGGGAACTTCTGCAGCATAGTCCATACACATCCTCCATATAGTCCCGATTTCTCCCCATGCGATTTCCATATTTTTGGAGCCCCGAAGAAAGACATTCGTGGCCGTCAATTTGCTTTGGATGAAAAGGTGCACGCCTGGGTACAATCATGGTTCCGTAGGCAACTGCAAACATTTTTCTATGAAGGCATTGACCGTCTTGTCTCACAGTGGGATAAATGTATTAACAGTTATGGCGATTACCTTTGAAATAATAAACAGTTTACTTACTTTTTTCCCATCTTTCTCATTTTCATTTGACTGCCCCTAATATAATTTAGTTTGTTCAATGTGAACTCATCAGAAAGTTGTTTAATTGTGAAATTCCTTAGATATTGTTTTATCAATCTTACTTAAATGAAGGATCATAAATATATTTTGAACATTTTTGTATATTTTTAACTTTGTCGGGAAAATATGTATTTATTTAAACATACAAATGGAAATGTTTGGTGACAGTTAGTTTCCATTCACTGATGATAATTAACCACATGATACAATAAAATAAAATACAATAACAGATATAACATACTAAAGTATTGCCTAAAATAAGAACAATATAAATTAAGAGTTAACTAAAATATTTCAACATGATTGTTTAAAACTAGTAAAATAGATTTGAAAGGAACAAGTAATTTATTTCAGAAAAGAAAGAACTCTGAAAAAATATGAAGTTTCCACACTTTTGATTTTCCAAGTTTAAATTCAGTTAAATGCTTAAAATTTTCTTATTTTTCATGAACATCATGTACAGATTAAATTTTTAATTCATAAATTAATAATTAATTAATTTGTGAAGACATACTTTCTCACAATGACAAATTTTACATCCAAAGTTCAATGACATAAAGATCCTTAATATTTTTTCAGGAATTTGAATAACACTTTTTGTATACTTGAATCTAATTTATTTCAAAATTTTGTTTATATAATAAGTAACAAAAATATTATTAATTTTTATTATTATTTGCTTTAATTTTGATTCTTCATATTTAGAGTTAATCGTAGTGTTAGAATCTGATATTTAATTAAAACATTTTAGGGAACACGAGAACTCCCAAAATCAATCTTGTCTGAATCAACGGGCATCTACGAATTGGGAAAAAATGATGACAGCTTTTCATCCAGTGTTCCAGGTACCCCTGATCTCTCTCATGACAGATACATTGGAGAAGGAAACTACATGATAGTGCCCCAGAAGAGGAAAAGGAGAAAGTATATTCCAGAAAAACCCGACTACAGTTTAAATCTTTGGTCTATAATGAAGAGTTGTATTGGCAAAGAACTAACAAAAATTCCAATGCCTGTAAGTAATTTGTTTATATTTATTTGAAAATAAAATACATAATTAAAAAAATAAGTGGCAATAACTAACAAATGAATGCTTAGGAAATATTATTTTCTTTTTGAGGTAGTTATGAAATTTATAAATTTATTGTAGAGATTATTTTTTTAATTTCTTGATAATAGAAAAAGAAATAACTATATCAGAAAATACATTAACTGAATGATGAGTACTGTTATCTCTAGTGAAAATAAGTTTATATAAAAATAACAAATCTAAAAAATTATAAAAATTTAATAAAAGATGCAATTAAAATAAGAATACAAATTTCCATTAATTTAAAAACAATTGCTTATCAACTGCAGATACAAAGGAAAAGTAAAATAGATTTCTACACCAAAATTATATTATGAAAATTAATTTATTAAATAGTTATGAAAAGTTTTATTTTGTATGAAAAAGAATTGGATAAATATTGGCACACAAAAATAGAAAATGCAATGCAAAATAAAATAAAAATAAATGGTTATTCTTTTTGGTATTTTTATATTATTTTGTACAAATATACTCTCCTCTTAAAATCATTATACTTTTAATGCTATTTTTTGAAATCTTGTATTTTGATTGTAGTTTTTATGTTTAGGAATACAACAAAGAAATGTGAGCTTATCTGTTGAGTTATAAAAGAACCAAATGTTAGAATAAATACTTGAATTAGAGATGGAGAAACCTGTAATCTTTGGACTTTTTGTGGCTTCTAGTGTGGGCCAATAATAATCAAAATGATATGTCTAATTTTTCTGACCTTGTCTGGTAAGAAAATGTGGTTGGTGTATTGGGAAAAACTTGTCAAGGACTGGTAACACTGATTTCTTGTCTTCTGTGTGTATAAAACAGTTGCACTGCCAGGCATAAAGTGTACCATATAACCAATATGACCAGATCTGGGAATTTTATCCAGATTTGAAGATTTTATATCTGAGTTGAGGAAAAAGATAAAACATATAATTGTTGAAGAATGTGGGAATTTTTTAAAATTTTAAATAAATAAATGCTTACTGGGATTAATTAAATAAAATAAACAAACACCTTTCTCTATTTCAGCACAACGTTTAATACATTAAAAACGTTTTTGACCATTTTAAGCAATCATCTTCAGTTCAAAGTTCAAGCAATCATTTTCAGTTCAAATTTGTTCAAATTTGAACTGAAAATGATCACTTATTTACATATAGTTATATACTGAATAGTTATGTACAGTAAATCATGATGATAATTTTACGTGACAAAAACACTTCTAAAAGTTGTCATTATTATTTTTAAAAAAATGAATTTCACAAATCTTAATTTTGTAGGTAAACTTCAACGAACCATTATCCACTTTACAAAGGCTGACCGAAGAATATGAATATTCAGATCTGTTAGATAAAGCTGCAAAGTGCGACGACAGTTGCGAGCAGATGACTTACGTAGCCGCTTACACCGTTTCTGCCTACGCCACCACGAGTAACCGGACCGGAAAACCTTTCAATCCCCTTTTGGGCGAGACGTACGAATGCGATCGTACCGACGATTACGGATGGAGGTGTTTGTCCGAACAGGTAACAAAAACGCGAATCTTTCCTTAGTTTTCATTATAAATTGACGGGAAAACACAATTTTAGGTCAGTCATCATCCGCCCATGCTGGCACAATGCTGCGAAGGGAGAGGTTGGACGTGTTGGCAAGAGTTTTCCATGTCTAGTAAATTTCGAGGAAAATACCTTCAAGTGATACCGCTGGGAATGGCTCATCTAGAATTCGTCAAGTCCGGTTATCATTATACTTGGCGTAAAGTGACGACGACGGTGCACAACATCATCGTGGGAAAACTCTGGGTCGATCACCACGGCGAAATGGATATAATCAATCACGTGACGGGAGACAAATGCCATCTCCGTTTCATTCCTTACAGTTACTTTTCCAGAGAAACTCCACGAAAAGTAAGATATATTTAACTAATCTGTTTCTTTGGATTTTCAAATATCTCTCGTTACTGTACTCACTCACAGTAACATAAGTGTTGATAAAATTTGAAGTCTTTGTTAATAACGACTAAATGTTTTTACTAACTGACCCTAATGATGTCACAATTATTGTCACACAATGTGTGAATGTTGTTTTATTTTCTCTCACTACAGTAGATGGCACAATGACTTCCATTAGCTGTTAATTTTTACAGCATGTATTAACTGTAAAGAATCGTAACATTTAATAACTACTGTAGTGAACTTCCTCTTATTCCAATACCAGCTTTCATAACACTGTTTATATTGGCGGTGACACGTTTACACAAAGGAGGAAGAAACTGGAAGTAACTTGCCACAAAAAGCGATCAATGGCCGATGCTCATTGGTTAATACCCAAGTTGATTCTTTCAGTAGACAGACTACAGGAACCGTTGAATGTGGAGAAGTTCTGATCAGAACTACTAATGCGTTATTTTGTACTTTTATGAATACCGAAAGAGTACTGACAACCATATAATCGTTGGCTAGCGAGAACTTTGAATTAAATTAACACTTATCCGAATACGATAAACGATTACAATGTTCGTTGACAAAATTCAATTGGAGACGCCCAAAAACGCAAAGAGAAAATGATAAAAGTAAATTGAACCGCGTTTGTGTTCCTTCAGCAGACAACTCTTTCTTGCGCTCTCTCGGCAAAAAATTAAATAAATCAACAAAGTATTCACGGCCATTGTTCTTTCCAGAAAAACATGCTGAACTCTAAGCGAATGCTGATATCACGCCTATTTATTTACAAACGTAATAAACTTTTATTAAATGTTTCCCACTATTACATATGTTAATAAAATGAGATATATAAAGTGTATAAATTTCAAAAATATTAGAAACAGAAACTTTTGGAAACCAAAGTTATAGGCAATAATAACTTTGGTTTCTGGAATTTTGATTAGTTTTTGCACAAATATGTACTGTAAATTTCGACAGTTAATATTATAAATGATAACGGGCAATATTGATTTGTTTCGATAGAGTCGTAATCAGAGATTTTAAATTTCACAGAAAATTAACTTTTTCTGTTCGTATTTGTGCGTAACGAAAAAAAGCATTATATTTCTAGTTACTTAAGAGAATAAGAAATATCTTAACATAATTAACATTTCCATTTTCTGGTAATATATTTATTAAAAGTAAAGAGTTGCAAAAATGCATCGTCGTTGTTGTTTTGCAACTCTCTTTTACGCTTAATAAATTGTCATAAAGATGCCGACGAATAAACGTTCTGGCGTCTTTGTTTTTGGATTTCTTTTAAAATTAATCTGAAACTACATAATTGTAATACGCAAATATCGTATGAATTTCGTTATATTATCGTCGTTAAATTTCTGCATACGTGTATTGCGTGCTCAATTACGATAAAAGAATTTATCGATAAATTCCTAATGATAATTCAGTATTATAGAATCTAATATAATTACTAATAGGAAATATAATCGACAGGTTACAGGCGTGGTTACGGACAAAGACGGAGTGGCCCAATGGGTGTTGCAGGGGACCTGGGACAACAAGATAGAAGCCGCCAGGGTCATCGGCAGTCCCGGTTCGGTCAAAGGAAAGCCTCTGTTAGAAACTGCCACGCCCAAAGTCCTGTGGAGAAGAATCCTACCGGGGTGAGTTCTCGTAATGGTCTTAACCGGGGGTGTCCAACCCGCGGCCCGCGGGCCGCATGCGGCCCAAGGCAAGTTCCAGTGCGGCCCAATAAACGTGTAAACAAAACCGACAAATGTTTAAATTTTTTATTATTTATTTATTTCAACGGCATAAACTCAAAAAAAAAAGTTTCACAAAGCCGTAAACCTTTATTCATATTTTATTTTTGAGTGGAAAGAAAATATTTTCAAATACTTGGAAATGTGTGAATGCGGAAGGATTACTAAATAAAGCTGGAGTTGTGACTCAAAGGATTATAGATCCAAATTTGGGAAAGGGAGGGAAAGATGAGAAAGGACAAAAGATGTAGTAGTGAGAAACGTTAAATAGATCTTCTGTTAAACAAATATAGACCCGTAATTTTTCAACCTTTTTCACTTCTTTATCTTTTGTCCTTTGCCTCTTTTTCCCTGCACTTGGGTCTATAATCCTTTGATTCACAACTCCAGCTTTATTTAGTATTTCTTCCAACGTTGCAAGATTTGGCTACATTGGGCCAAATGTGGCTACTTTTTTGCTTGACGTAAAAAATGTCATTTGGCGCTTTGGCTACTTTTTCGGCTAATATTATTTATAATTACAGTCGACCCCCATATAAGATCATTGATTATTCCGTTTTATATGAATTCCATGTTGTACGAGTCACTTAGATTTTACAAATACGTGTACCGGGCTGTGAACGGCTCACGTATTTGTAAAATTTAAGTGACTTGTACAACATGGAATTCATATAAAACGGAATAATCAATGATCTTATACGGGGGTCGACTGTACATTAATTGAATAAAAATGCACTTTAAAATGGTGTTTCGTCGCTTTTTATTAATTATAGACCCAAATAAAACAAATATTTGTGTTTTTCAAATGAATTTTCTTTAGTCTCTTTTATAATAAATGGATTTATCTATTTCTAAGTAAAAATTGAGTCTCTGTAGAAGTAATTTTTTAAAATATTTTTTTTTCTTGATAAAGTTTTAATACTTATTATTATAATCTAGACATGTTAGTTTTTAAATATACTTGTATATTGGGCCACAAGTATATATTATATATACTTGTGTCCCAAAACTCCTTGACTTCTTCCAATGCGGCCCAGAGAAACAAAAAGGTTGGACACCCCTGGTCTTAACAAATATCTAGAGATGCCAACAGGTTCGTCATTTTAACATTATATACATTTGGAAAAGTCTGCGTATGGGTAAAGAAATTGACTTGCTAGAAAAAATTATTTAGCGTGTGTGTAATTCTCAAAATTGTATATTATAACAGTATAAAAACAGAATTACACAGAAAATTATTCGTAAGTTGCTTCAAATTGAAAATCTTTATTATATTCAAATAAAATGATTATAACAGACGTCTACACACGGTATCAGTTTATATTGTATATATTTAAACAATAAAATTTTCAATATTTTGTAGATCTACAGAAACCCCTATGATACCTAGAGTCCTAATGGCATTAGATAAAAGAGTGATTTCCAGCGAAATCTTTTATCATTCTTCTTTCGAGGTTACTTTTAGTGTTTTTTTTTTTAGAAACGTTTCATTTGCGTATTCTTCTTTTCATTTCATTCTAAAGTTGCTCAATTACATCAAGGTCTGAGAACTGAGGTGGTGAATAGAGTTGTTTTTTTACATTATACAACCATTCTTTCATGATATAGGAAATATGTTTTGGGTCGTTATTCGATTAGAATATGTAATCAGAAGATAGGTCTAATTTTTCAACACAACTCTATTTGCTGCAGATTATAACAAATGACCCCCTTTCGACAGTTGGTAACATATGCTTAGTTTTCATCTCATACTTTTTATTCGCACATCTTTTCTAAATATGTTAAATTCACATTCATCTGTATATATAATCTTTCACTAGAAGTCTGGATCTTGTTCGTGCATTTTGCAATAATCTACTTCTCCGCAAATACTTTGCTGTTTTTTGTTTTATTAGCATCATTAATGAACGTTTTTTTCTGTATTCTGGCATTCAATCTAGACTTTCGAAGACAACGAATCGTTTCGTGTTGCTCTTAATTGCCTTATATATTTTTTAAATTTTGTGTGAGATTTTTAGCACTTGTTATCGGATTTATTGAAATTTTCTTTAAAATGCATCATTGTCTCCATTCAACTTTAATGGTCGGCCAGATCTTTTTTTAAAATTTCTTAACATTGTTTATACAATGTTAAGAGATTTTGAAAGTTTTTCCCTAATCTGATAGCGATTTCACCACTTTTCTTTATAACTCTTCATACTTCAAGCTACTTCCTTTCTTTTGGATCTCCTATTGCTTCTTCAAAATTTCAAAATAGTACTCTATCTTTACGTAAACGACGCAATAAATATGCAAATAACGTCACAAAATATAACACAATACAAGGAATATGTGTAGACTTGTCGTAATCCCGTCGTACGAAATTTCTAATTATTATTTACTCACAATTTAAAAAATCTTTTTAAAAGCAATTTAGTATTTATTTTTGCATATTTCCGTTGCCCGTACGTAGACTTTTATAAGTGTACAGTACGTTGCTTGAAAATACGAAAGAAAATTGATAAAAAAGTTATATTTTTAAGAAATAATTATTTGTAATTTTGTCGCTAATTGTATTTATTCACATCCATCCGGATCATGCTTAGAATTGTCTTTGAATTTCGACCGTAATTCGAATTAATATTGTGTCGTCGTTTGTGTACGGACAGGCCAGAATACGAGAAGATGTATAATTTCACGGTATTGGCTTGCCAGTTGAACGAGATGGAGGAAGGCGTGGCTCCGACCGACAGTCGAAGGCGGCCCGATCAACAGCTGATGGAACAGGGACAGTGGGACGAGGCCAATCGCATCAAAGTGCTGCTGGAAGAGAAACAGAGATCGGTCAGACGTCGGCGAGAACAGGAAGCGGAAGAGGCGGCGTCCGAAGGTAACGCCTTTAACATCTATTTCGTAGCCTGAAAGGAAGCGTAATTTCCAACAAAATATGAATACGCATTCTTACGTTAAAAAGCCATTTCCTTACAGACAGATATTACGTTTGTCGATTGACGATCGTAATTCGTGTCGATATCCGGTAAAAATCCTGGCTTATTTAAAATTTTGCATTCCACAATGCGATATTCCGTCGGAGAACTTCGTAATATCCGAGAAGCAGATTTTGTATGAAAGTAAAAACGCTATATTGCTCACACATACACAAAAGTACACTAGAAATTTTATGTATGAATATTAAATAACGCTAAAAATTGTATCTCCGTATTTGAATAATTCGTAAAGCTTGCGGAGAATTCTCCTTTAATTTACATATATATTTTTTTAATTTGTAGGTCGTCCGTACGTAGGCTACGAACCGGTGTGGTTCAAGAAACAAAAAGACCCAGTCACCGGCAATCCCATTCACATCTTTACAAATCAATACTGGGAATGTAAAGCGAAACAGGATTGGAGCATTTGTCCCGATATATACTTGTGATCGTTATCCTACTAAAGACTGCTATTAAAAAATAAAGACTTTAAAATAAAAAAAAAATTAAACTAGAAGTAGAACAATATATTTGCTTATTATTAGCTTCTCACAGTGTGAGACTTACGGCATCTCTATATATTTCACTGTGTAAGAAGAACAATATAATAGTAGTTCTTTGAAAATAAAATCACACACATAAGGACTATTTTAAAGGAGTGTTTACACGCGCAGGGAACTACGAAACGGAACACACGGGACGTTATCTTCCTCCCCCTTTTTCTTTTCCCGGCGTGTTGAAGGTCGACGTAACGAGTGGCGTCGACGCTCTCTCATATCAAAGAAGAGATTATCCTCCCCCAATTAAAGAATTTAATTCATTTTAAGTTTGTTAATCCAAAAAAGCAATCGATTAAGAGAATTTAAGTATTGCAGCGATCGGACGACGATGATGATTTGTACCGATATATAAATGAACAGTTGTAAATCTTTCTAGTGTAAATATATAATGTTTCTGTAATGAAATTTGGAATATTTATTTCGGATTATGCAAAATATTAGCAATGTTCTACTGATTTATTACAATAAAAAATTATATATATGTATATTATATAATAATATAATATACATATATATACATATATATATAGGTCTATATCTATATAAATAGTGTTAATTTAAATTGCCTGTCTGTAAGTTGAAACCTCTGCGTGCGACCACTACATAGATGAGCAGCTTACCGACAGACAAACGTACAGAATTTGAATTTTTAGCTTGGTGTGGCATAGCAATTTAATAATTTTTTTTACATAAAATGCCTAGTCTTGCTATGTTTCACACTTTTATTATCATCATCTTTTTAATTATTTTTTTGAAAAAACGCAATTGATAGTTGTCATTCTTTTCGTATTTATACGGGCCTACAGTATATACCGATGCTGCTACAAAGAGAAGGAATGTTTTCCAAGTGAATATATAGTTTTTGCTTTATTTTTTGATTGTTTTCGTTTGTTAAAAGCAATTTCTTGCCGCTTGTAAAAAGAATTTAAAATACAAAAAATCCAGTCGGCATGTATAAGAAAATTTAATAAAATTTTCAATTAATTAATATATGAAAATAATAATAAAGTACTTGTTATATTGTTAATTAAGTCATTGTATAATTACGGTAATTACCGAAGAAAATTTTTGTTTTTTCATAGAATTAAATTGAATTTTTTGTCTTGTCTTAGAATTAAATTTATTTTTTTTATTCAAAACTAAATTGATTTCTTTTTGTTTTTCTTAGAATCGTATTGTTTGTTTTTTGGTATTTTAAAAAAATGATATAATTTATTAAAAGTTTTTAAATTTTATTTTTTCGAATGAAATTTTATTCCAGATGAATTATATATAAATAAGCTGAATCAAAACTGTTTAATAAAGGTTTGCTTAATAAAAGATTCTATATTTATCTTTATTTTATTTTTTGCATACTACTAATCCGATTCAAACACTTAATTATACTTAGTTAATTCAAGTAAGTTTATTAAATTAATTAAATGAAAAAAATGCGAGTAAAAAACGTAAAGAAAAAATACAGTCATTTCCAGCGAAATGCGATCGAGGGAAAAATACGTGAACGTCGTTCGTCGTTACTATCAATGTAATGACGATATTTTATCGTTATAAGCGGGGATCAGAGCAGGCGACAATATTTAATTTTTAATTAAATGTAAATTATTCTAGATAAAATGGTTTGAAGAATGTACTCGTATTAATTTATCTGTTTCTATAGCTTTATATAAGCCATTGATCCTACTGTTTCTGTCACGGAATGCCTAGAACGCGCACTAGGGGGCGTCCCGGGCTACTAGTTTTATATAAATGACAGAAATACTGTAGTTCTTTTGATCATATAATACGTCATTTTATGTCATATATCAAAGTATTATAAAAGGTCAGGAAATCAAAGAAAATTAAATACCAACAGATAACAATATTCACCAGTTCTTTACTATCTTTATCTTTGCACACGATTGAAAAGTGATTCGGTTAGTAATAGGATATATCACGAATGCCTTAGATGCGTGTTAGAAATAGATATTATAGAAATGATAATGAGAACGTTTGGATAGATTCACAATTTTTAAATAGTTGCAAAGTGAAAAAAAGCACAACGTTCTAGCTGAAGAAATAAACGCAAACCTATAAAAAATCTGGAAGTGGAGCCAAGAATCTCTTAAAGAATGATATTGATATATATGGAGCCCGAGCCCGGGGTATAGTTCTCTGGCTCCGGTTCCAAAGCCCCGGTTATATCGACGAATTCAGAGCAGAGCTGCAGTTCACATTTTTTTTGCAATTTAAGCCGAATTGATTTTTACGCGTCACTAATTTATTGAGAAAACACTTTAAATTTTTTATACAATTCGTTTTAATAAGAAAAGATAACTTTTATTTGTTTTATCCCGTATTTTAGTTCAATTCAGTTGGTGTGCAGTCTACGAGCGTTTCTTTGTGCGGTCACTCTTCTGTATTTAACATCTATAAATATTCATTACAGTACATTCATTTTTGTTTTTGGTTAACTAATTTTTACCCGCTATTAGTACTCCTAGTATAACTCTATATCGCAGTTAATAGGCCTAAATTAAAATCTATTTCCAATGATTTATAACTTTTATGAGAAGACTGCGCCACTATTTATTATAAACGAGTGGAAAATTCGATGCCCTAATGTCATTTTGCAAGAACTGGATAAGTCTTCTGGGAAAAATTTTTTAGCTAGTATCGAAGCAATAGAAGCTTTTGCAAGAAATCGAGCAGAAATGACAGGCGAACAGAATCCACCAGCGACTGGTAACATCTAATTCGTTGCAGTTTCCGGGAAATTAAGTTTTTCAACTCGGTATGCCCGAAGAAAATGGAGAAATTTTTGGAAAAAAAAATATAATTCCTCTTAGATTGCAAAAATATCACACCCTGTGGCGAAGGTGCCAACGACGCGAAATCTACATATTTCTCTCTGATCATCGACGATATACGCATAGTTTTTAATGTTAGTTACTAGCTCAGGTGCTGTATCTGGCTTGGCTTCGAAAAACGATATAAGTAAGGATAATATACGCGTATAAAAATATACACACACAAAGACGTATATACAGAAGGTGAATAACGTACTTGCAATGTAATAAATTAACAAACAATTTCACGCGGAAAGAAATTGTAGAGATCGGCAGACGATACGACACGGGTGAAAATGGCAACGGTTATACATTGAATACCGCTGGATTAACTTCCTATTCGTGCGAAAAAGCCGACGAGAACAAGGTCCCCAAAACCATAAGGTCTAGACACGATACCGTGATGCATCGCGACAGTCGCCATTTCGGATCCTTTTGAGGTTGTGTGTACGGTGTTTTTAAAGCGAAGCCGATTACTTCTCTCCATCTCAATTGCTTGGATTTCTTGTTGATAAATGGAAACCAACTGAGAATTCGAGGCTGTTTGAGGTTAGTGGTTAACCAAGTGCATAACCTATAATACAATATTCCAATAAATCTTATAAATAAAGGTTAGCGAGGAAATTTCTCTGTAATTACTGGGTGTCGATTTACAACCACTCATATACACCGGAAAGCAAATAGCACACCTCCAATCCTTCGGTATTGTCTTGTACTCAAAATCCTATTGAAACAATTAAAAAACTGACCAATTAACTGACTATTTATACACCATTTTACTCGTTTTTATTGATAAATATATTCCGACTAAAGAATATGTGAAAAAAATAAAACTAGCAGGAAAGAATTCTTTAAGAATTTTATATCTGAACACACGCTCGCATTAATTAAACAGAAGAAAACTTTACTTAAAACAGTCAAAAATAAAAATTGGACGACTTTCGAAGAACGAAACAAACATTTAGAGGATATAAATACCTTGAATAAACAAATCAGAAAAAATATCCGTAATGAAGAGAAAAACTATTATAGTCTTCTATATATTATTAAGTACTAAGTATTAAGACGTTACCCTTTCGGGTAACCAGGACAAAGAATAAGGCTAAAATAAGTCATTTGAATTACGAGGGGAAAATGATGAATGGCGAGCGCACTTTTAGTGACATTTTTGCCGAGCACTACGGGTCGTCGAACGGCTTTGCTCCGGATGTCTTCGGCAATATCAATTCGGAGCAACACATTAGTATTTCTAATACTTTCTTTTTGGAAAACACAACAGCCTTAGAAGTCTATAATACTATAGAAGGTTTGAAAAACAGCACTCCAGACATCAGTTTCTTAAATATTGAAATCTTAAAACACATATCTGATATCTTAGCTCAACCATTATCGTATCTGATAAATAAATCTTTTGAAAAGGTTACTTTCCGGAAAAACTAAATCAAAACTTAGTTTTGCCATTAGTCTATATAAAAATAAAGGATCAAAAAGTGAAATCGAAAATTATCGTCCCATAATAATAGTGTTGGCGTTGGCTAAAATTTTCGAGAAGATTTTTTACAAGAGATTTTCAACTTTTATAGACAGATTCCAGGTTATTCACAGAAATCAATACGCTTATAAACGAGGATTTTCGACGGTAGATGCTTTGTTGCATTTGAAACAATCCATAACGTCACAACTCGACAAATCGAAAATAGCGATATCAGTTTTTGTGGACCTTTCAAAGGCATTTGATAGCTTAAATCACGAACTTTTGTATAAAAAATTGCAAACTGTTGGTCTAAGAGGGACTCCTCTAAGCTAGTTAAAATCATACTTGTCAAACAGAATTTACTTTGTAAAAATTGGACAGATTATCTCTAGCTCTTTCGGGCCAAATAAGGGCGTTCCTCAAGGTTCAATCTCGGGTCCACCGCTTTTCTATATATATATTATTGATTTGTTTAACTATATACCAAAAGAGAATATACCGATGTACGCTGACGATCTAGCGATAACTTATTCTCGTACGAACGTTATAATTCTTCGGGAGAATTTAAATCACATTTTAAAAACTTTAAATAGTTATATGGAAAACAATGGATTAGTAATTAACAAAAATAAAACTAAATTCCTCCGCTTTGCAAATAG